CTGGAATCTTGGCTCGGGGTGCCATCTGTAGAAGGAATAGAGCTGGTTTAGGGCAGGGTGGAGATGGAGGAAGACATGAAGCTGAGACCAGAGGGACCTGGGTTACAGGTCCTTTAGTGCAGGACCCAAGGGAACCTGGGGTCCAGCTTACTCTGCCTCTGGTTAAGGTCCTGCAGAGACTCCAACCTCCCTCTGTCTTGTACCAGGATGGAGAGAGGGGCGGACACGTCAGCGAAACCAGAGCCAGCCGTCCTGGCTGCCGGCAGCGATCCCGCCTGCCTGGGGCGGCGGGCGGGGGGTGGGGGGGCAGACTCTGGGGCTGGGCTCCTGCCAGGCCTGGCCTGGCTAGCAAGGCTGCACCCAGATGAGCCAGGGTCAGTCTCGTGGTGCTCTCTCTGCTCCCAGGAGCAGTGGTGTGCAGGCCTCAGTCCATCTGAGTCTGTGCCTGCCTGTTTGGCATGTGGCCATCCCCAGGAGTATGCACCCCACCAGCCTCGAGGCAATGAGTGAAGGGGTGCCCACGGGTGTGTTTCACATATGGGGTGGTGGGTGGGTCCCCTGAGATGGGATGACAAATGTCCTTAAGTCTTACTCATTCAGCCCCTCTCCCAATAGTCTTGACTGAGGTCATAAGCTGAAAGAGGGACTAGCCCAGGACAGCTCACCCTCCACACCCACACGTCCAGGAGGGGACACTAGGAAGGCTTTCACTCTGAGGCAGATACCTCCTGCCTACGAGGAAACTAGCTTATGATATGTGGACAGTAGCCCCTTCAGTCAGGGTTAATAAGGAGAATGTGCCTCCAGTACAAACCAAACAGGTGCCACTAACAGCCTCCCCACTTCCCAAATGGGAAGTGAGGTTCAGTGACATTAAGTCCTCACCAAGGTTTTCTAGCCAGGCATCTGTGGGAACACAGAGGGCTGGACCCCAAAACCCCTTCCAACTATGGCCTGAGGCTAGAACACAACTGGCTAGAACCCAGACCTCTGTCTCCCCTTCTTCCCACCACCCTAAAAGGCTGGTGGGCACATGGGAGCCTTCCAGGTCAAGACCAGGTAGCAAGAGGGGGCCCTGGGCCATCATCATTGTCTCCCACCAGAGGACAGTCCCCACACACTTTGCATAGGGAAGCAGCCCCCTCCTCCCTTAGGTCAATGGATCTTATATTCAAGCCCAGGCCCTGGTCTTCAAGAGCCTGTGAGCCCAGGGCAGCACAGGGTGACAAGATGACTGCCCCACCCCACCCCCTGCATGTGCACACACCCACAGCACAAACACAATAGCGAACCCTCTCCCAGAACTTAAGACCATAACACCATAACCTGAAAGACAACACACCTGTGTTCAGAACACCTCAAAACAACTCCAGAGGCAAGGATAGTGGGATGGCATATGCCAATAGGATAACTAGGGAAACTGAGGCAAGGTCTCAAAGGGAACCACCCCAGTGGCTAGTGAAGAAGACCCGCTCTCTTCCTCTCCCCACAACCACCTCGGGTTCCTCTGTATTGCCTGTGAGGGCTGTCTGACGGCTTCCAGTCTCCACCTGTGGTATGTATGCACAGGTGAAGCAGCATGCAGGCCCAGTCCTCTCTCCCCATCAACTCTGATAGCACCTTCCAGAACTTATCACCTGTCAGTCATGTACTCACTGTCTGTCCAATCCTCAACTCCACCTACATAATAACAGCTGATGAAAGGGACCACAGCTTCCCCTGTCCAGTGCAGAGTAGGGGGTGGGTGGGGGCAGGCAGACCTCGGAGACCTCCACAAAAAAGCAAATACTGCAATCAAGTGAGTCACACAGATTTTTTTGGTTTCCCAGTGTGTGTAAGAGCTATGTTGACACTATACTGTAGTTTGTTACGTGTGCAACAGCATCGTGAAAAAGCTTGAACTACTGTGAGAACAACCAAAATGGGACCCAGACATGAAGTGAGCAGATGCCGTTGGAAAAACGGCACCAGTAGACTTGCCTGAAATAGGGTTGCCACAAACCTTCCTTTTGTTATAGTTGTTTTTTTTAATGTAGCATCTTGATAAGCAATGAACTAAGCGGCACGACACCAAGTCCCCGTACCTTCAGCAGGTCCCTGGGCCAAGGCCAGCAGTGCCCTTACCATTCTTGTCCCACAGTCCTGGGAGGCATCTCCTCTGAACACACGGAGAAACTTAGGCCCTGAGCACGGCCTCCTCCCGGCTAGGATGCCTGACTCAAGCTCTTTACGGTGACTGTGTATAAGGTCCAAGGGGACTGGAGGCTGCAGGGTTGCCAGGCTGGCCACACGCAGGGTCCACCCCCCACCGCCCTAGAGCCTGGCTGCTCCTTCCCTGACCTTAGCAGGGAGGGCTGACTTGGGGGAGGCAGCCGCACCCCCCACGTGGCCCTAGGGTGGAGCAGGGGTCCTCGAAGCCAACATCTGGAGGCCAGGCTTCACTGCTGTCTTCTGAGTCAGGGAGGGAGCGATCACATGTCCAGTGGTAACAGCTGGGGGAGCGGCCTGCGGTGGCTGAGGTCACCAGACGTGGGTGCCCCCGGGGACAGGCAGGCCCCAGCCACACCAGCTCTGGGGTTCTGGCACTCACTTCTTCATTTGTTGCTGTTAGGTGCCACGGAGTTCATTCCAACTCACAGAGACCCCACAAAGGCAGAGGAGAGCTGGCACACAGCATTCCCAGGACTGGCATCTTTATAGAAGCAGACTGCTTCATTTTCTTCCCAGAGCAGCTGGTGGGTTTGAACTGCCCACCTTTTGGTTAGCAGCCAAGCACTTAACTATTGCACCACCAGGGCACCTTTGCTTCATCAGAGCTAAGGGGTTCTAGGATAGAGGATTGGAAGCTGTTAGAGGCCCATGGTGCCCCTTCCCCAATACAGGGGGACGCTGGATGCTGTTGCTAATAAGCAGGGCCTGGAAGGCCCCAACCTAAGTGATGAGGCCCCTCCCACGACTGGGACTGTGGTGGCCTCACCAGGGTGGGGTGGAGGGACCACCCACTCCTCCCATTCCTGAAGCTCATGTGCCTAAAAGGGCTGGGGCTGCCCCTCCCCCAGTCAGTGGGGCAGAGGCTGGCTAAGTGGGGGGCAGTGTTACCTGCCGCTGGGCAGCCAGCATGGGGGAGGGACTGTCTGCACTCTAGCACAAAGGTCCTTGTGTGTGTGCAGGAGCCTGAAGGAGGGAGTCCTACCGCTGGGCAGCAGGATCCCAGGCCAGGCTGGCATCCACATGGGGCCCACAGGCTGAGGCCCTAGCTGGGTGTGGCCTCATTCCCCAATCCAGATCCGGAGCCTGAGTCACGGGGGTGGGGGTGCTCCTGCTGCAGCCTAGTCGGTCTTGGGGACTCAGAGCTGGGGCCCATGGCCATGGGAGGCCCAAGTGGTCAGGCCTGGTTTATTTTTCCTGGCCTGGTTCACCCTATTCTCTCCAGATTACCCTGGGGTGACAGAAATAGCTTCTCCTGGGAGAGGCTGTGAGGGGACTACATGGAACGACTATGCAACACTGGGGGCAGCCAGGTATGTGAAAAGGACCACTTGAAGGGAGGCTTGCTGCTCCTAGGCCTCAATGCCCAGCACAGAGCAGACCCCACAGTGGTTTATCCAGGCCTGGATCTGGCTGCTGGGATTGTCAGCATCCCCGGCCTGAGCACTGGGCCAGACATGGGGGGAACTGGGGCCCTCTCACCTCCAGCTCCACACAAGAGGGTCTGCAGACAAGGGTTCCCTACCTCCCACCCTATCCCCGTGAGTGAAGATCCCGCCAACGGCTCTGGGCCTTCCCCCAGGAACGTCTGACCACATCCTGGCGGCAGCAGCGCCATCCCAGGCAGGTCTGACTCCACAAGTGGAAAAACACCGATCCTGATAGTTTCCATGGGAAGTCTCAGGGCTGCGGTCTCAATTGGTGGCAGTTAGCCGGCCAGCTTCTCTGCTTACACGCTCAGTCACTCACTACTGTGGGTGGAGCAGCTTCCTCCGGCCCCCAGGATGCCCACCCCTCCCTGGCCACCTCAGTAGACCCTGTGCTCCGGGAGCCTGTTCTTATTGGGCCCGGCCATGCTACTTCAGGAGAAAGGAGGATGCTGTCCTTGGTCACTGAGTCTCTGAGGTGTTGTACTGGGTCCTGTGTTAACTTCCAAATGCATTCCCACCCCTCACCCCCAGAGCTCTGATTGTCCAGGAAGCAGCAACTGATATCAAAAAGGGATATCACACTGTTTTATATTACGGTAGGGGCAGGACAGGAAATGGGCTGGGGTGCTGGGACCCTTCTCCTAACCACCATAGCTGCTGGATTTAGGGCCTCTGGGAAGTACTGACTTTCAGGCACCTTCTCAAGCAGGTTGCTGTAGTTAAGTGCCATCTAGTCGGTTCAGACTCCTAGCGTCCTTATATGCACAGCAGAATGAACACTGCCCAGTCCGGCACTGTCCTCCCAATTGGTTTATCGGAGCCCACTGCTGCCGCCACAGGGTCAATCCATCTTTTTAGGGGCTTGAACTCTTTTTCACTGACCCTCCATTGTTCCAAGCATCATGTCCCTCTCCAGGGACTGGTCCCTCCTGATACTACGTCCAAAATATGAGAGACAAATCCCATCATCCTGGCTTCTAAGGAGCGTTCTGGCTGTACTGCTAACACAAATTAGATGTGGGTTCTTCTGACAGTCCATGGTACTTTTAATATTAAGTCACCAAAACTGTAATTCAAATGCATCAATTCTACAGTCCTCCTCATTCACTAACTTTCACATGCAAACGAAGCTACTGAAAATACCGTGGCTTGGGACAGACGTACCCCAGTCCTCAAACTGACATCTTTGACTTAAACGCTTTAAAGCATCTTGCGCAACAGATTTGCCTAATGCAATAAATACGTCATTTGACTTCTCAACTGCTGCTTCCATCTTGAGCAGGAGATGGGTGAATTCTCCAGCCTCAACTGGGCCGCTGACTCACAGCCTCCCCTCTCTTTTCTGCTCCCAGGGACCAGAAGATGTGCATCAGGACTCCCCCACCCCTGCTGTTACTGCCCCTGCTGCTGCTGCTGGCGCTGGGACCCGGGGGGCTGGGCTGTCCACCTGGCTGCCAGTGCAGCCAGCCTCGGACAGTGTTCTGTGCCGCCCGCAAGGGCCTCACGGTGCCCCAAGACTTGCCACCTGACACAACTGACCTGTATGTCTTTGGGAACAACATCACTACGCTAGATGTGGGCAGCTTTGTCAGCCTGCCCGGCCTGCAGCTGCTGGACCTGTCACAAAACCAGATTGCCAGCCTGCCTGGCGGGGTCTTCCAGCCACTGGCCAACCTCAGTAATCTGGATCTGAGTGGCAACCTCCTCCGTGAGGTCACCAATGAGACGTTCCGTGGCCTACGGCGTCTTGAGCGTCTCTACCTGGGCAAGAACTCTATCCATCACATCGAGCTCGGGGCCTTCGACGCGTTGGACCACCTCCTGGAGCTCAAGCTGCAAGACAACGAGCTCCGGGCACTGCCTCCTATGCGCTTACCTCGCCTGCTGCTGCTTGATCTCAGCCACAACCACCTGCCAGAGCTGGGAGCAGGCACCCTGCAGGCTGCCAACTTGGAGGCCCTGCGGCTGGCAGGCCTGGGGCTACAGCAGCTGGACGAGGGCCTTCTAGGACCACTGCAAAACCTGCATGACCTGGATGTGTCCGACAACCAGCTGGAGCGCGTGCCGCCCGCTGTCTGCAGTCTACGGGGTCTGACTCGTCTGCGGCTGGCTGGCAACCCCCGCATCGCCCAGCTGCGGCCCGAGGACTTGGACGGTCTAACGGCTCTGCAGGAACTGGACCTCAGCAACCTGAGCCTCCAGGCCCTCCCATCCAACCTTCCTGGTCTCTTCCCCCGCCTGCGGCTCTTGGCAGCTGCCCGCAACCCCTTCAACTGCCTGTGTCCCCTGAGCTGGTTTGGCCAGTGGGTACGTGAAAGCCGGGTCACACTGGCCAGTCCTGAGGAGACGCGCTGCCACTTCCCACCCAAGAATGCCGGTCGGCTCCTCCTGCAGCTGGACTACGCTGACTTTGGCTGCCCAGCCACCACCACCACCCCCACCCCGCCTACCACCAGGCCCACCATGAGGGAGCCATCACCCTCCCGGTCCAGCGAGGCACCCACCAGGCTCCATCTCACAGACTTCACCACCCAGGCACCCAGTCAACCTCCCACCCCCCTGCCCACCACACGGCCTGCCCCTCAGCCCCAGAACTGCCCTTTGTCCACCTGCTTCAATGGAGGTACTTGTCACATGGGGCCTCAACGCCACATGTCATGTCTGTGTCCTGAGAATTTTACAGGTTTGTACTGTGAGAGTCGGCTGAGGCAGGGGCCACGAGCTAGCCCTGTGCCCACCACACCCATGGTGCCATGGCCCCTGCCCCTGGGGGTGGAGCCCGTGAGCCCCACCTCCCTGCGGGTAGGGCTCCAGCGCTACCTACACAGCACTGCACAACTGAAGACTCTCCGCCTCACCTACCGCAACCTCTCGGGCCCTGACAAGCGACCAGTTACACTGCGGCTGCCCGCCAGGCTTGCTGAGTACACGGTCACCCAGCTACAACCCAATGCCACCTACTCCATCTGTGTCAGAGCCCTGGGGGCCGGGGATGAGGAGGCCTGCGGGGAGGCCCACACCCCCCCGGCTGTCCGCTCCAACCACGCACCCGTCACTCAGGCACGAGAGGGCAATCTGCCCCTGCTCATTGCGCCCACTCTGGCCGCAGTGCTGCTGGCTGCCCTAGCAGCCGTGGGGGCAGCCTACTGCATGCGGAGGGGGCAAGCAGCTGCAGCTGCTAGGAGCAAGGGGCAGGTGGGGCCAGGGGCTGGGCCCCTGGAGCTGGAGGGGGTGAAGGCCCCCCTGGAGCCAGGCCCCAAGGTGACTGAAGGTGGGGAGGTTCCAGTGGGCGGGCCTGAGTGCGAGGTGCCACTCATGGGCTATCCGGGGCCCATCCTCCAAGGGCCCCGTCCCTCTAAGCCCTACATCTAATCCAGTGCATGATGGGACCAACCAGTGCCCCCTGCCACCAGACCACCCAGGAAGTCCTCGTTCTGTAGGACAGGACCAGCCGCGGTGCCACTCTGAACCTCGTTTTTCTCATCTGTGAGATGGTAATGACCTCCATGGTCCCTCTAGAGCCCAAGCAGCTCCTGTCTCAAGGACAACCCTGTCCATCTTCTGCAAGTGCAATCCCCTGGGGTCAGGCTAGGCCCGGCCTGTGTGCTGGTAACACAGGTCTCAGCCTGCTGGGCCTCCCCTGCCCTGGAGGCTGGGGACCAGTGAAGGAGGTCCCCAGAGAGAACACAGGGAAAGGGGAGCAGCCTTAGCCCCAGAAGCAAAGGAACCAAAGAAACTGGAAAGGCAGACTCCGCTTTAGGACCACGTTTTGCTTCTGTTGTTTTGTTTTTTAAATATATTTATAAGAGAGCCTTTCCCATTTATTCTGGGAAAGTGTTTTCCAGAGACAAGGACTTTAATTTTTCTAAGACAAACGATGACATGAAGGCCTTTTGTAAGAAAAATAAAAAATAAAATGAAACACGTGTTTTTCTCCAGGCGTGGCGGAGAGGAGATAAACCAAGGAAGGCTGGGACCCAGCTCCCTGATGGGAACCAGGTTCTAGTCAGCAATCCTTGGCTTTAGAAGGGCATCCTCCCAGGCGGTTACAGGGGATGGGAGATGATGGCCTCCGATGAGGAGAGAGCTTTAACCTACCCAGCTGTCCACCAGCAGCAGAAACAAGGACTGAACTTGCTCTGGGGGGGTCATGTTGGGAGAGGGACAGGAGGATTCCACAGGGCCAGTCTGTTGAGTGGTTCACAATGTCCTTCCATGGTCCCACAAGTGGTCCTGGGACCAAGTCCCAGGTGGGACGCATTTCCCTAGCTGTGGAGGGGAGTGGTAGTTGAGGGCAGGCAGCTTAGGGACAGGACTAAAGGTCAGTGCCAGGCCTGGTGGCCCTGTGTTGACCCTTTACCCCCTGCACTAGGATGTATCTAGGGTTTCCAGAAACCCCGGAAGTGGGAGTGTTTTCCAGGAAAGCCATGGGCTGTGGCAGGGCCAATTACAGGGTGCCAGAGCTCAGGGACAGCAGCTGGTGGATACACACAATTTGTCCTCATCACCTCGGCCCAGGGCAGGGCAGACGGAGGGGTTCTGGAGTCTTGGAGAGGCCCACAAAGGCTGGCGGGAGGTGGTGGCCCAGTTTGAGGCACAGGCTCTGTGGTGGGGGCGTTGATGTCAGCAAGAGCCAACCAGGCCACGCGTGCTCTGGATTCAATTAGTGGCTCCGAGGGCTGGCCCCAAGCCTAGGAGGCGGGTGCGGGTCACAGCGGGCAGTGGGTGAGGGCAGGGGTCCTGAGTGGGGCCCCTTCCTCCCGAGGAGGCAGCAGCAGCCCAGGTGGATTTCCCAGAGGCCTGTGTGCTATTAGGGGATCAGCTCGTGAGCAGCAAAACCACCTCCCACCCCCTCTCGGCGCCTGTCAAAGGGGCCTTTGTGGGCTTGTGGCTGCCGAGTAAATGTTTTTGCTGCTCAGCCAGGCTTGGGCTATGTGAGATAGCACAGCATGGCTGCGGTGGGGGGACCCCAAGGAAGGGGGCTGGACACACCAGCCCTCCCAAGAAAGGTAATTGGGGTGTCACATCAGATCACGGAGCAAATGGGGAGCCAAGTCAGAACAATTCTAACACGTGTGCCAGGGCCTGGGCAAAATGGGTGACACACTCATCTTATCCCAACAGACCCCCCTCACAGAGTAATGCCCACCTGGAAAAGACACACAGGAGGCTCTAAGGTGTCTGCTCACACTCCACATAACGCAGCTGCACAGCCTCACACCCTCTCACACACACCCGAGGCCTGCTGCACACTCACTTCCGGCCCGCAAACAATCCATTCGTTCTCGCACACGCTCACTCCATGTACTCAAACGGACACGTGCCCTCACACTCACTCGCTCTCCAACTCACAAGTCACTCGGCCACCTGCTAACATACACACTCACATCCTCGTACACACCCATTCTTACAGCTCACTAACACATATGCACTTAGAGACTCACTCCAAGTGAATACACAAAGGTCCAGGTGTTGACTCTGTACCCCCTGCCCAGAGAAAGGCCTGGGCTCTGGTCAGCACTCTGGTCCACACACCCAGCACTGGGCCTGGCACCAAGTGGACACCAGTGGCCAGACCCTACTTCTCAGTGTAGGACCCCAATGCCCTGGGGTGGGTCCTGGCTCCCGGCTGGCTCCTCTCTCCTCGTGGGAAGTGAGAAGACACAGAGTGGAAGGTACATGCCCTGGGTATGTCCTGACCCTGGCCCCTCTATCTCTTACACATGCAAAGACAAAGACGGTTCCACCCCAATCAAGTTGGAAGTATGTAAAGAGGAAAAGTGGGGGTGGGGGAGACACAGAGGTGCCTGTTAGCCCCCTGGCTAACCCCTCCCAGTGTCCCAGCACCCCCACAGCAGCAGGGCCTGTAAGGGGCTCCAGTCTCAGGGAGCCCGGGGGCAGGGCTGTGGCACCACTCAGATCAGCCCAGACGCAGACAGGCACCCTTGGTGCTCAGCAGCTTAGTGGTGAGCTGGAGGGTCCCAACTCCCCTGCTAGGGGTCAGGCTGGCAGGCAGGGCCAGGGCTGGGTGAGGGGACTCTGGCCTGTCTATCCATCTGGGAGCAATTTGAGAAATTCCAGACCTTGCTGGTCCTACACGGCTATTCTTAACCACCCAAATTACAGGGTCAGCCTTGGCCAATGGCACCTTGGAGGCTGTGTCTTGTTAACCCCTGCAGGGGCCACCCTGGGCAGAACTGCCCCCAAGAACAGAAGTGGTGTCTTCATGCTCCTGCTGGGTACTGGCCACTCATCCAGCTCATCTGCAGTTTGGGCCCTGGGGGCGGTGGGGAGACTGACTGGGCAGGAGGACACGGCAGAGGAGACGTGGGGCATGTAGAGCCTGCTGCACTTGGAGCTGAACGCCTTGGATTGACTCCGCCCAGGCAGGGGTGGGTGCTGATGGGCTCCTCTCTGAACTGACCCCCACACCCAGACAGGTCTGGCAGAGCAGGGAGAGAAGCAACCCAGTTGACCTTTGCTTACTCATCTATAAAATGCCCGGCCCAGATTCCTGGTCCTGTCTGGGTCACATGAGAGGACTGACCATGATTCTGCCACAAGAGGGTCTCACTCAGCCCCCCGGCAGAAGCAAAAACAGGCATACAGCTAGAGTTAGCACTGCAACCCTATCCTTAACCACCATTTTCTTGGCGGTAAAATGAAGGGGGAGGGGCCCCCACATTCCCAGATCCCCAGTGTCCAGCCCGGGAAAGTCCCGGGCTAGCCAGCCCTGCCAAGCCAAGGATGAGATGCACTGTGCTCAGAGAGAAATGGAACCAAGTCCTGTTCCTGCCCCACGCCCTAAACCTGGCAGGTCCCTGAACCTCACCAAGGCTCGGTTTCCTCTGCTGTGACGCGGGAGGCTGTGTGGACTGAAGGGGACGGGTCACTGAGCCCTCTGCAAATGCTGGCCCTCAGTTTGTTTGGGTCTGGAGCCTAAGATGGCTGGGGTGGCAGGGTCAGCCAGTGCTCACAGACCCACACAGGATGGACTGGTTCTCCCAGGTGCTCACGGCACTTGTCCACAAACCCTCATCCACACAGTTCTTTGGGGGAGGGAAAAGAGGGATGAGGCACGAGATAGTACTGGGTGGGCCTCATCAACACTGGCAGAGTCATCGTAGCCTCAGCCTGACCGGGTCCCCAGTCCCATCAGTACACTGCAGCAAGATCAAGTGAGTGTGGCGCTGTGGCTCAGCACTGGATCCCCAGCAGTTAAATCCACCAGCTGCCCCTCAGAAACCCTATACAGGGTTGTGAAGAGTTGCAACTGACTCGATGGCACTTCTCAACAAGAAACTCGGACCTCCTGCCTCGAGTCTGTCAGTCTGCAGCCTCCATCACAAATGCCAACACACACACCAGCGTGGCATTTAGTGGCCCAGTATGAACCCTCAGACCACATGGGGCTGGGCGGGGCTAGATCAGATGTGGTCAGACAGGTTCACCTGCCCATAAAAGTCATCTTATCAACCCTGCTCATTGGGTGCCAGGCCAGGGTGCTGGACCATGGCTCAGGCACACTCTGCGTACCCCAAGACCCAGCCCCTTGGAGAAACCCTCCCCAGTGAAGCTGTTCAGAGTCTGGACTCGGGGAGCCAGCACATGGGGGATCCTACCCTGGTGAGGTGTCCAGGGTGAGGGAGGTCAGTGCGCTGGCCAGGTGCCGGGTGTCCCAGAGCTTCACTTCCCGCTCCCGCATCTGCAGGGAGAGACAGGGGGGCGCAGAGAGGGGCTCAGGGAGACTGACCCTCTGCCCAGCTCAAAACCTCAGGGGAGACCAGAGTGAAGGGTGCAGAACCTGGCAGGAGATGAGCTTGGACGTTCCCACTCTGCCCCTTTAAGAGTCCCTAAGTGACAAAGGACAAGGGGCGGTTCCCTCTACGGACTCTGGTCCCTGTGGGGCTGTCACACTTCCTGGGGTCAAGCTGAGCTACTGCAGATGGAATGTGCCCGTTTTTTCAGCAGACGGTGGTCCCCTGAGGCTCTGAGACCCAGTTGTGGGATTGGGGCCCCGTATATGGACAGGCCTGAGACTGGCTGACAGACGCTAACTCCCATGGCCCTCCCCCGACTCAGTGCTGGGCATGCGGCTCTGGGATCACCCGGGGAATCTACCTGGTTGGTTCCTGTGGACACAAGGTGTTCTTGGGTGCCCGTCCACACCAGTCGGCCGGCCCTGCAGTTCTCATGAGCTTGTGTGCACTGTGGGAGGAAGAAATGGCTGAACCACCGGGGTCCCCACTGGTAATGAGGGCCAGAGCAGACCCCAGATCAGGAAGTTCTGCCACCAAGCCCTCCCAGGAACCTCAAAGGCAAGGAAAATGGGTCTTCCCCTTGGAAGTTCAGGGTCTGGGTTGAGAGAGGGTGAGCGAGCACATACTTGGGGTGGGTACCTGAATGAAGACGGCAGACCTGGCGGCCATCCCCCACACTTAATTAGCCCCCTCCTAAATGTCCATAAAGGTACCATGGTGGTGCAGCGATTAAGCACTTGGCGGCTAACCCAAAAGTTGGTGGCTTGAATCAGTCTTGGGAAGGAGATGAGGCAGTCTGCTCCTGCAAAGAGGAGAGCCTTCGAAACTCAATGGGCAGTTCCACTGCGCTCGACCTGCCTCTGACACAAAATGGACCTGATGGCCATGACTTTTGTCTTGTGGTTTAGCATGAAGAAGGGGCCCTGCTGGCACAAGGGTTAAAGAGTTCAGCTATTAACTGAAGTTGGCAGTTCAAGCCCACCAGCCGCTCCACAGGAGGACAAGTGATCATCTGCATCTGTAAGCTGACAACCCCAGCAACACTAACAGACAGTTGCACTCTATCCTAAGGAGTCGGAACTGCCTCGATGCCAGCGGGGTTGATTTGTGGTGAAGTCTCTCCACTGCTGTGCCTGGCTCACCCCTGGCCCTGCTCCCCACAGCTGTGGAGACTCAAGGCAGTGGCACGCTGGCCTGGACAGCTGGCCTAAAGGATGCATCGTGCTAGTACACCAACAGGGCTGCCGCATGGCATGTCTGAGTCCACTCTGAAAACACAGGCCTGCACAAAAGTGCCATGCAAATCGAGGGGATGCGCCCTACTCCTCCTCCTGGTGCCGCCGACTGGATCTGGTGAGGGCCCGTGCCAGGCTCTGAGGCATGGTCCCCTGAGAGAGTGAAGTGTGAGTTTCTTGGCCACCAGTGGTACTGGACAGCAAGCAGGAAAGCTGCGTGGAAATGAGCCCCAGGGAGGGAAAGAGAGATCCCCCCATGAGTGAAGGCGGATGGCCAGGTCTCCATGGGCCCGTGCTGGGGAGCAGAGGGGAGCCAGAGGAAATGCAAACAGCCCCTTCCCAGTCACCCTGGCCCCTGGAGCCTCAGATGAGGGACCCTGTTACCAAAAATAGCTCAACCCAAACCATGGCCAGCTTCCTCCAAGCTTCCCACGGTCTCCTTGGGAATGAATGATGGAGGGAGGGCCTGTGAGGAGTTGGCCCAGGGCCCTGCGCCCTGCCCCCGTGGAGGCCGACCCCAGCGTGGGAGACCATCGGAAACAGCTCTGTGTCATTCAAGGGGCTTTTCTCACTCTTCCCTACACCACCCCCCATCTCCCCCAACTGGGCTTCAGCCAGCACAGGAAGTGGGGGCTGGAGCCCAAGAACCAAGGCTCCATATACCTCTTTCCATGCAAGAGGGGCCAGAGGTTAGGGCAAAGGTCAGGGCACTGACCAGTCGCACCCTACACCACGAATCAGTGTGCAGACACTCCCTTGATTAAGCAGCAGGGGACGTTCACTCATGACATTAGAGGCTTTCGCAGGCCAGCACCCAAAGGGGAGGGGTCTCGCCATGAGCTTTAGAACTCAGGGAGGAAGAGCAGCTCAGGTATTGTTTCAAAACAGGAACATGTAAGCCACACACTGGGCTGGGATCTGGGGATACCCTGAACCAAACAGGAAAAGGCCTCAAACTCGAGAAAGATACAGGTCTGTTGGAGAAGGCAGAAGGGAGCCAAATAAAGGAGCTCTGGTAGCGTAGTGGTTACGAATCGGGCTGCGAACCGCAAGGTCAGCAGTTCGAAACTACCAGCTGTTCTGCAGGAGAAAGATGAGGCTTTCTGCTCCCGTAAAGATTTACAGCCTCGGAAACCCTGTACAGGGTCGCTATGAGTTGGAACCGACTCCATGGCACATAACAACAATAGGATCACACAGTGGGTAGAGTAGAGGTCGGTAGCTCAAACTTAGGGAGAAGTCAAGAGTTAACACACGGAGTACTCAGAACTGTGCCTGGCACATTTCAAAACGACATCTTTTAAGACTAAGAAGAGAATACAGTGACAGTATAACTGATGGAGGGAGATGGAAGGGGTCGGAGGTGCCTCTGAAAGATAACGAAGAGCTGGTAGTGTGCGCAGGGCAGGGGACCAGTGTGTACGAGGGGCTGGGGGCTAGAGGGACAGAGGCCAGGTGTTGGGGGTGTGGTGGCTGCAGTGGTGAAGAAGGCTGTGGCAAAGCCTGCAATGCCGAGGCACAGGTGGGGACAGCATGTGCCTTGGGGTCCATGTTTCCTATCTTCCTATTTAAAACCCGGGAAAACCACAGACACAGAGAGAGGAAGTCATCTGCCCTAAGTCACCCAGCAACACAGCTGGAGGCCTGGAGCCCTCCCTGGTGGTACAATGATTAAGTGTTTGGCAACTAAGCGAAAGGTTGCTGGTTGGTAATTCAAACTCACCAAGCACCTATCCAGAAGAAAAGCAATCTGCTCCCATAAAGAGGACAGCCTAGAAAACTCCACGTGACAGTTGTACTCCGTCACATGGGGTCACCATGAATTGAAATGGACTTCAAGGCATGTAATAACAACATGTATGTCATGCATGCTTCAAGAAAAAATATAAAACTTTTTTTAACGAGACAACTAGAGGCCTCCTTAGCCTCCAAGATGTTACCATTCTTGATTTTCAGATGAAGAGTTAGCAACTCAGAAAGCCAAAAGCCTGCAGTCACTCGTGTGTGGAGCAGAGGGAGGGTGTGTGTGTGTGTGTGTGTGTGTCTCACTCAACACACACTACTGCAGGAACCCTTACCCTGGGGGTGAGAGCCAGGTCTGGCCCAGGACATGCAGACTGGGCAGGGCAGGTGATGCAGGCGGGTGGGTGGTGGACACGAAGCTCGCGCCCACTTTTGGGGACTGGGGCCTTGGGCAGGTTGAGACCAAGCAGGAGCTCCAGCTGCAGCCCAATGCTCCCTGATGGGTTTTTCCAAAGGGCCACAGGAACCCCTCATGCCAGGAAGGGGTGCCACTGACCCCTGCACCATCACCAGAACCCTGGAGGGGTTTTGTTTCAAAATGGAAAGACCCTCGTCCCTGACCATAGGACCTCAGAGTCTCATTCTCAAGACTGCTGCTGGACCCAGGTGTCTTGTTACCCCAAGGCCCAGCCTGTCATAGAAGGGAGAGGAAGTTGCAAGGTGCTCCTAAATCTCAAGGCCTGGCCCCAGGGCCTCCCTCTCTGAGATGGGGGGGATGCAGATCCTATACGTGGAGAAGCACCACAAAGGCTTCACCTGCCCCTCAGGTCTCCCAAAATAGGAACAGGAGGGGTGTGGCCAGTGAGTTGCCCAGTGCCCTGGGCCCAGGCATATACCCAGCATTCCAGCACTGCAACCAAAGCCCCAGCTCAGTACTCATGATACTTCCTGTGAGGCAGGATGGCTGCAGCAGGCTCCTTCCTCAAGGCCAGGGAACCTTCTGCAAAATTGTAAGACCCCCACCACCGACTCTCTCAGCCAGGCACGACTTCTCAGGAGTAGGGGTGAGTGGGGGCGGAAGGCAGAGGAAAGCCAGCACCGCCCGCCCCCCCCCCCCCCACACACACACACTGTGAGCTGGGAGGACTCACACCAAGATCCAGCCTTGACAACAGGGATGGGAAGCAAAGGGCTACAGGCTGGACCACAAAGAACGGAGGTGAACAAAAGGGAACTTCCTCATGTCTTCCCATCCAGACTCAGGTTGTCAGAGGTAGGCCCCCAAGGTCACGGTGAAGACAAGCCTCCCAGACCCCACCTTCAGTCCCATCTCCAGATTCTGAACAGTGATGTGAGACTCAGGACCCTATGGCACCTAGGCAAGATCAGAAGACAGAGACCCCACCTGAAGCCCCTGCCGTCCCAAAGGTCCCCAACTAGCCAGGAAGGTAGGTGTCAGGAACAGACTGCTCCCAGAGGGTTCCCCTGAGCTGGCCCCTCAGCTCATACCGACCCTGGCCGCCAGCAGCCGTCTAACTAATAGAAGCCAGGTGTGGGCCAGATGCCCTGGGCGGAAGTGGGGGCAGGGCTAGTGGAGGGCAGCAGTCCAGGCTTCACAGCCCCCGCCCCAAGGCTTAGTACAGGCATAGTCCCAGCAGCTGGGAGCGGGGGCATGGGGCCACCCCCACACTTCCCAGGTCTCCTTGGCCAAGAAGCCCCTTCAAGGGGGGGCTCCCCGCAGGATCAGATCCACTCTCTGCTCTGAGCAGGCCCTTGGATAGCAGCCACATGTCTCCACCTCAGCGGCATCAGTCACCGCCTCCAGCCTCCCCCTTTCAGGAAGAGGAAGGTTGGAAGGAGGAGGAAAAGGAGGGAAGAGAGGAGGCAGAGTAGGGACACAGGAAGACGGGCTCCTGGTGGGAGAGGACACCTGAGAGAGCTGGTGGCAGCTTAGTCCCTCCCTTCAAGTGGAGTCCAGAAACCCCTTTCTACACAAAGGCTTGAAGGACTGCCAAAGCAAGCTTTGGAGCCAGGTTCCTTCTCACACTCACACTCATCTTGCAATGTGAACAGCAACCAGCCCGCCAGCTATAGGAGAGGAGGGGCACGGGGGGGGGGGGGGGGGCTGGCCAAGCCGCCAGGACCCTTCTACCTGCCAACCCAGCCCTGTCAGATACGGCACTGACTAAACTTTCTAGGCCAAAAAGTTTCCATTTGCTACATAAACAGGATTTTATGTGCGTGACTGTGGGGGAGGAATGTCGGAGGCTCTCTGGCTGGTTTGGGCTGGCTGCTGCCCCCACAATCAGAGTACAGAACAAGTCTAACAAATGGAAAAGGGGTGTCTGTGATGGGCCTGGCTCTTCCCACCCTGGAGATCACCTTTCTCAGGGAAGAATCTTCTAGAAAGATCTTTCTAAAAACAGAAAGCTGCTTGCTCTACTTCCTGCTTAAAACACTCCCAAATTATAAAGGCAAATTTTATGTTTAGTATATTTTACCACCTTACAAACACAACAAAAACTCTTTCTCAAAACAGCCAGAGGGCGGGTTCTTGCCGCGGGCCCACTCCTCCATCGCAGAGGCTGTCCAGGCTCAGCTCCAAGGTCAGCTCCTCAGGGGAGCAAACAGCCGCCCCATCCACAGTCACCCCTTGCCAAAGTAGACTTCCACTCATGGCGACCCCATATGAGTCAGAGTAGAACTGTGCCCCACAGGGGCTTTTTCTGTTTTTCGTTTTGGACTTTTTACTGTGAACTGAGTGAAGGCTGACAGAACAGAGCACCAGTTTGACATTCACTGAGCCACAGGTTTTTCAGAAGCAGACCACCAGGTCTTTCTTCCAGAGCGCCTCTGGATGGACTGGAATGGCCAACCTTTTGGTTAGTAGCCAAGGGCATTAACCACTTGAGGACACCCCGCCCAGAGCCATCCCCATAACTGCTTGGGGGCAGGCCCCATACATGCGTGTCCTTCATAAGAGAAGGCGAAGCACCGGGACTATATTGCACGCCCCCCCAGCCCAAAACTTTGCAGTGAGTGAATGATTCCCCAGAGGTTTGATGCCTGAGGCCGGCTTCCCCACTGGAAACTCAGCAGCCGCACAACAATGCAAGCAGACAGTATGCGCCCAGACACCCTCAGACATGCGTGAGTTCTTTCGACCAGCAGGTCCCACTTGCGTCAAAGGCTCTAGAGCTGGGGTGGGGAGGGTGGGAGCAAGTGTCTTCTCCAGGAAAGCAGGAAGTCAGAATCTGAAATTAACTTTCCAAAGCCACAGGACTCCTCCACCGGTGGCCTGTGGGCAGCCTGGCTGTGCCCCACCCTGTCATCAGGATTTGGCCCTTCCCGTCAGTTTCCCAGAAAGAGGCTCTGCAAAGGGAACCTGATGGCCAGGTGTCTCCTGGGCCTCACCACAGAGGCGGAGGGGCTGGGCCTGTCTCACCTCCATCGGTGGAACCCTTCAGAGGGGTGAACCCACTCAAACTCACCTGTGAGGCCTTGGCCTTGGCTCGGGGGTCAAAGACCCGCAGCTGCTTGTCCTGAAAAAGAGCAGAGGAGGAGGCAGGTGAGCTGGGGTCTGCCACACAGAGCACCTCTCACTGAAAGGGCAGAATCCTGCTTCCTGCTCCCCAAACCAGAGCTGTGATGCCACCCACTCAGTTCTGACTCTGAGAACCTACGGGGACAGAAGAGAACTTCCCCAGAGGCTGTCAGCCTGCATAGGAGCACACTGCCTCATGTTTCCGGTGGGTTTGTACCGCCGACTTTTCTGTTAGTAGTGTTACACTTAACCCATGGAGCCACCAGTACTCCCTTTTCCTGCCCCAGTGTCCCAGAAAAACAGGGTGCAGTGACAGCAGCTACTGCGACCCGGGCACCAAGCACGTTACAAACCTTGGGAGGCAGTGGGAGACCTGCACCCACCTCACAGATGGAGAAACAGAGGCCTAGAACGGAGGTCATGAGTGTCCAGCCCTGTGCTAGGCCCGGCCAGGTAGGGTTCATGTGACAGTCTCATTTCTGCACACAGGAACTTCGTATCTGACCTGGGAAGACGAGCTTAGACACCCTTGTCCACCCTGCACTCCACACAGCTGGACTGACTACACAGAAGAGAAAGAAGGGTGTTCTTAAGGAAAATGCCCACAGCCTGGATTGAAAAAAATCAACAGCCTTTTTCAGCTCATGAGCTGCTGCCCTGGGCTACAGCGCACACCTGCTCCATGGGGCTTTCTCGGCTGTCATCCTGATAGCAACAGACTGTCAGACGTTTCTCTGTGGAGTCACTGGGTGAGTGTGAAGGGTCAACCTTTACAAGTCAAACACAAGCCGTTTGTTCTACCCAGGGACCTCCGATACCTTGCCTGTTATTATTATGAAGTGCCAATGAGTCGGTTCTAACTGACAGAGACCCTGAGGTTGGCAGTCTGTGTTTATTCTACATACAGACCCTTAGTCCTGTGGCACTGTGTGTCTGCCTGTGTCGGGGGAGGTGGTTCATGTGTACATTACACATGTCTGAAGAATGGGGGCAGAGGTTATCACCGTCAAACATTCTGATCAGAGTCACGGTTGATGGATTGAGATAGAAAGGGAGAAAAATGTGGAACATGAATTTCAAATTCTCAAAGAATCCAGAAAGACTGGATCCATCAGACTGAAGCAATCCCTGAGACGTCATTTGGCGACACTCTTAACTCTGAACAGAAACTCTTCCCTGCAGTCACCTTTGAACTTTTTGAGGTGAGCTCAGAAAGCAGAGTATCATTCAGGTGTCCTGCAGACCCACATGAGGCCCACTGGACAACTGCTACTCTAGAGAGCAGATGGGAAGGCTGGGGGGGCAGGGAGACGACGTTAATGAGAGCGAAAGAACTAGAATGGAGACATGAGAATGTTTACGCAACATGACAAATACAACCAAACGCCAAAGAAACGCACAAAAACTGTTGAATGGGAGCTTTTTAAATTTTTAAATAAAAAATAGTAATTGGGGCAAAGACAGGGCTGAATCTGTGTCTGGAGACTATTAGTAGACCTCGGAGATGTTTCGGATTCGGTCCCAAACCAACACAATAAAGCAAATATCATAAAGTGTCACCTACAGTTTTTGGTTTCCTAGTGACTTGACGATACTTAACAACAACAACGGCGCACAGAAAAATATGCTGACGCTAGACTGCAGCCTACTAAGTGTGTAAGAGCATGATGAGAAAGTTGGAAACTGTGACAATCACCAACACATGTCACGGAGATACAAAATGAACATCTGTAGTTTGAAACATGCCATGGACAGACTTGACTGGCTCAGGGTCGCTACACACCTTCCATTTGTAAACAACACAGTATCTGCGGAGGACGATACAGCAGCTAAGTCAGGCTTCTCCAACTGCTCTTGAGTCAATGTTGACCCAGAGCAACCTTACAGAGCAGAGGAGACTGCTTCTTAGGGTTTCTGAGACTAAACCTTTGTGGGAACATACTGCCTCATCTTTCTCCCAAGGAGCAGTGGGTGGGTTCACACCACCGACCCTGTGGTCAGCAGCTTAGTTCAGCGTGCCACCAGTGCTCCTCAGCCATGATAAAGTGCTTGGTGCAGTAAAAGGGACTTGGCAGAACAACACTGTGTGGTGTGACCATGTTCCTGCAGTTTCACAAGTGCTGGAAAGCCTGAGCCAGCATAGACGGGTCTGCTGATGCTGGCTACCAGGAGGAGGAGTTGGCAGTGGTGGAGGATAATTAGCTTGGCCTTTATACGTCTTAGCACAGCTCCACTTTGTTTCAATATGCATATATGCCTTTCAAATTCTGAAATACAAGAACAGCTAGACTTTGAAATGAAAAACACAGTATCACTTATGTTAGCACTGAGCCAACACACTCAGATACTAATGTTGTTAGATGCCACTGAGTTGAGTCTGACTTGTGGGACAGAGCCAAATGCCCTTTTGGGTTTTCTTGGCTGTGACCTCTATGGAAGCAGCTCACCAGGTCACAAAGGGCTGCTAGGTGGGCTTGAAGCATCACCCTTGAACTTGTGGTTGAGCATCTAACTGGTGGCATTACCAGGGCTCCCTATACATCCAAGGGCCCCCTATATATCCAAAAAGTTTGTGAAACGATGGAAGGAAAAGGTAATGAAGCCCCCTCATATTTAGACATAAAGCTGACAAAGTATTTAGGAAATTAAAGAATTTATTTTTTTTTTAAACTTTGAAGAAAGAAAATCAAAGATGATCTAAATAATTGGAGAGATATTCTACATTCGTAGACAAGAAAACTCAACATAGGAATGCAGTTGTTTCCATTCTACAGATTCAACTCAATTCCACTCAAAATCTCGGCACGGTAGATAGATGTTGACAAACTGATTCTAAGACATGCAGGGAAAGATTGTTGTTGTTGTTGTACGTTGTTCAGTCAATTCAGACTCATAGTTACCTAAGAGAACAGAGAAGAACTACCCCATAGGGTTTTCTAGGCTGTAGTCTTTATGAGAGCAGGAGGGTAGGTTCGAACCTCTGACCTTTAGGCTACCAGCCTAACTCTTAACCACTGTGCTAAACGAGCTTCTTAATAAAGAATTGACCTTGACCATGGAGGGGTCTAAGGAGCTCTGGTAGTGTAGTGGTTACAAATCGGGCTGCTAACCTCAAGGTTGGCAGTTCGAAACTACCAGTGGTTCCGCAGGAAAAAGATGAGGCTTTCTGCTCCCGTAAAGATTTATAGCCTCGGAAACCCTGTGCAGCGTCACTATGAGTGGGAACCCACTCCGGTACTTAACAACAACTAAGGGGTCTGGACTTCTCAGATCCTGTGAGATAACCTGTAAGCCCTTGGGATATCCTGCCTGATCAGAGTATCTTCATTTACCGAGGAGCCTCAGCCAAACCAGACAGCCAATGCGAACCGTGGGGGACCTTGACTGGTATCAGCTCAATTTCTGGAGCAGCTGAAGGTCAGCCGTGTGGGCAGTCAACTGGACTGTGACATGACTGAATCCCACTGAGAAAGTGGACACAAAGTTTTAGAGCAGCTTTCACGGTCAGTACTCAGCACATGATACCTCACATGGTTGCTGAGAGACCGATGGCATCTGTATGGTTCCAACAAGAGAGACCAACTGGAAGCTCACACTTGGAACTCTCCAGGACTCCACCCTAGGCCCCCTCCCCCTTGCTGATCTGAACCTAGATCACACCTGTAAACACTGTAATCACGAGCACAGAGGCTCTTAAGAGTTCTCTTCAGTTCTGCCAGTGAATTATCAAAACTGCAGGTGGTCTTCTTGTCAAGTGTCGTTGAGTCAATTCCTACTCATAGCAAGCCTGAGAGTTTCCAAAGAGCAACTGGTGGGTTTGAACTGCCTACCTTATATGGTTTGCACTCCAGTGCCAATCCTAGAGTGCCATAACAGGACTCTGTTGATGGTCTTAGGGCCCCTCCCAAACTTGCAGTTGGCATCAAAAATGAGGAGAGGGGTCACAGGGACTCTTGGACTTTGCATACATTTTATACAAAAAATGTAAAGATCCAGATAGCTGATAACATTGAACAAAAGCAAAATTCAAGACTTCTGTCAAAGCCTGCAATCCAGAGAGTATGTTGTTAGGGAGAGGGCAGACAGACAGATCAAGGGAGTAGAACCGACAGCTCAGAAATAGACCCACTCTAGTACAGCAACTGAACTATAATACAAAAGCAAATGTCATTAACTGAGAAAGGACAGTCTCGTCACCAGTGGTGCTAGAACAACTAGCCATCCACATGCAAAACTCACCAGCACCACCATCACCTAGACACAGATCTAGAGCTGTCAAAAAAGTAATTCAAGAGGAGGGGGGCAATATACAAGGAGGGAGAGGGAAACGGAAGAACAAAGCAGATGGGAGAATAATTAGGCATGTTTGAATGGGCTAAGTGGGACAGAGATAAAGAATGATGTAT